GGAGGGGGGACTGGTCTGTTGGAAGGGCGGGAAGAGAGCTGTCGTATCACGAGCCGGAATACTCTTGGTATAGCGGCGGAACCGCGGTGCAGGAGGGTAGTTAGAAGAGAGAGGTCCGAAGAAGATTCCCCGGCAGTTATAAGCCTAGGGTGATCTCGTGCAGCGGCTTCGTCGGCTTACGGCTTATCCCACTGATCCGCCCTCGCCGTTAAACTGCTCTCAATTAGATACGTCACTGGATTTCGATGTCAACTGGCTATATAAAGCCGCGATCTCTCCCTCGGGACGACCAGCCTTCCTCCCTGCCTGCCTGCCTGCCTGCCTGCCTGCCTGCCTGCCTGCTTGCTCGCCTTTGCTCGCAAAATGCACCGCGTCTTTTTTTCTTTTTTTTCTTTTTTTCCATCGCTCTCCTCGATGAGTTAGAAAAGACGACTTTTACCTTTCTTACTGGATATTTCGTATGCGCTTCGCGGCGCGTGGTTGGACTCTTTATCGTCGGCGTGCGTGCACAGACGAAGAAGAGCGTTCGAAACGCGCGCGTTTCGGAATGATCGATAATTTTGAGAGTTCGTGACGAACGAACGCGATTCGGCGATTCTCTAAGTAGATGTCGTCCATTTAGGGGAAATTACGTGGCGAGCAGAGTGGTATAACGTTGTTACGGAACCGAGGCAATTTGGATGACAAGCGATTTACGAGAGGCACGCGAACCGCTTCACCCAACTGATAGACGTCGCCGTTTCGCGCCGGTCAGACACGAAGCTTTTCGACGAATCCAATAGCCTTTGCGGTTCGATCGTTGGCCAGCTACCGGTCTTCCGTCGCTATTGTTCCGGCAAAGGCCGGAAAGGCTCGGGATCCGAGAGATCGATGTCCACGTCGACCAAATGTTCTTCTCTCTGGAACCCGTGGTTTCGCGCCACGAGCATAACCGCCGACGTAATAGTCGCTGATCAAAGATGGCGGACACAATGGCCGCGGATTCCTGCAGGCACACGAGTCCGTTCTTTTCAGACTCTTATGGCGGGCAATCTAAACGGGCATCGTTTTGCCACTCGCTAAACGTTGACACGCGATTCCTCGTCGGCGTCTCAGTCACACGGCACGTTAAACGCCATTTCCCTGCCCCCGATTCCACTCGATCCTTTGTCCTATGCTTTTTGTCCGGATAAATATACCCTTTGAACTCCGTCAATTTCGTAAACCGGTTCGATCCCCTGTTCCCCTTTCAGCGCGTGACTCTTTCAAACCATTCTCCACGCTTTCGTAAGTCACTTACGAAACTGCTAACGAGTATTATCTCCCTTCCAACGATAGATCCGTCCGTCCTTCCCAACAAAAATCCTTCCTATTTGTTCTGTCCTCCGCTCAGCCGCTATTGTCCGCCGAACGAAGAACTTTGACGCTTGGCGGCGTGTCGCGTATTTCTAATTTCTATCGAAGCGAGATATTGATTTTGCCGATACGGAAATGCAAGCACGGATGACAAAGTGGCACGGTACGTCAGTCAGTCAGTCAGTCAGTCAGTCAGTCAGTCAGTCAGTCAGTCAACGAACGAGTCCTTTTCGTTAGACAGGGTGCATGCGTAATAAGGTAGTCGTGCCCGTATCTCTCTCTCCCTTTTCCCGCGTCCCTCTCTAGTTCGTTTCGTCTTTGGGATCCCTCCTACGATCCCCTCGATACCACCCTTCCTCGGCGATAGCGAAGGAAGGCGGTGTGGCCGGGCCGATTTGGCCGCTCCTTTCTACCACCTCGACGAAATCCTCGCGCAAATACGCTGCCAGCCGCTCGCAACTGTTCAGGCTTATACGTGGGTAAACAACCGTTCCGTCCTCCGATGCAAATTAGATTCGAATTCGATAGAACGGTCCGTATGCGGGGAGAGCGGATCACGCGCCCGAGAACACACGCACACCCTTCGGCGTTCGTTTCGTCGCAGTTTCCGAGAAGAAAACTAATTTCTCTCTCGCGACTAGATCGAGTGTCTCGAGACGAGCGGGACGAGAGTCGGTGGTTGGAGAAAAGAGGGTAGGTACGAAGAGAACAGACGGGAGACCACGGTCAGTCGCCTTTCCCGATGCTATTCTAGCTGCGGGAACATTTTCCTCGGCATCCGTTCGACGAATTACCTTTCTTCTCGTTGTTACGCAGGCTTGTTTGGACAATACCGAGAGTAACCGCATTGGGAGTTCTCGTGCAAACAGAGAAAGGTAAACGGCAAACTGACGAGGGACGTGACGAGTTGTCAGAGACACGATTCCAAAAGACTCGACTCGTCCGTCGTCAGACGCTGCTAGACCTCACCGATCCGCGTAATTTCGCTGCCCAGCGGTTCTTTGGTTAACGTTTCCGCAACGAACTGGCCGTTCGTCCTGCTCGCTCGAAAAATACGTTTCAAGAATTACAGACGAGCTCTATTACGCGAATGAATCGTGAGAAATAAAGGTCGGGCGACGTAAAAGGGAAGGTAGTAACCATTTCGAGACTTTTACTGCGCAGAGTTTTCCTGATGACAGGAAACATTACGTACACGTGCACGCGGCTGGGTGCACGCCACTTCCGGACGTTGCTTCGGATCGCGAAATTAAGTCCACCGTTGTAGTCGAGCTGAAATCGTGGCACGTTGCAGGATCGACTACCGCGCCGAATCGGAAAACAGACATTTCCTCGATGGACCAGTTATCTCGGATAATTGAAACAGCAATTTCAATTCCGTTTTCCTTTTTCTTTTTTTCCACTTTCCTTCCTTTTTATTCCCCTTTCGATCGTACTTGCTCCGCGGAAGATTCTGCCGATTTAGCCGTTGCTAGAGTACGTAGATCAAACGGGAAACGCGACGAATACAACGAGCCGGGTATTACGCGTTATCGGGGTTACTCGTATTCGGCATGATCTCGATTATGATTGTTTACGATCGGTAGTAAACTATCGACGCGATACGTCGCTGGCTGGTACTATTAATTTGCTCCTGCTAACCCTCACCTTCGCCACGCCATTCCAATGCGTATCTTTTCTTTTTTTTCTTTTTTTTTTCCGGGTTTTTCACATTTTCTCCGACTAGAGAAATTTTATATTTCAAGGATTTACGCTTTCGAGCGAAACGCAACGAGGATCGTTAAAGTTTTTCCGTCCGAGTCGCGAGTTGCGAGCTGCGCGAGGCATCCCCTGGACGATTCGAGGCCGTGCTGCCATCTAGAAACGAATCCAGAAACCGAGAGATTCGTTCAAGGGGGATGAAAGGACGATTTCTCACCCCGCGCTGTTTACTCTGCACGAAGCAGGCGCAGGAAAGTAATACGTGGAGAGCATAAAATGGCGTCGGGCGAAGGAACGAGAGCGACCCGTGCGTTGGGGAAAATTGGCGAAAAAGGAAAGATTTCGAGGAGGTCTTGTTCAGCCTTCGAGAAGGTGATCTTGGAGCTTGTGCTATCGAATAATATTTCACGGTATCTTCTCGGATTCTTGTAGGCTCGCGAGACCCCCTATGGCCTGTTAGCTACACGAAAACATATACGTCACTGACGCACTGTTCGCGGCGATTCTGATGGATCCTGGGATTCGATGGGAACAAAAGAATGTTGGTTTAGCATGGAAGGCGTGTTTGTTATTCTGATGAGGTATAATGGGATGGATCTTGGGTGTTGATGCATGGCGCGTAGCAGGGTGCCGAGTCCAGAATCCCGTGGATCCAAATGGAGATCGGTACGGGCCCCGTAGGCTTCTTCGAGACCCCTGTAGACAGGGGCCGCAACACGTCCATCACGTGTCACGGTTATGTATTTAGACATATCTCACTACTATCTTCCATATCGTTCTTCCTTTCTTCTTCTTCTTCTTCTTCTTCTTCTTCTTCTCCTTCTTCCTCTCCCTTTCTCTCTTCCTCTCTTCTCTCCTTCACCTCCCGTCGCTCTCTCGCGACCCTCGGCCTCCCTCCGTTCTCCCTTCGACTCTGACTTTTCGTTTACCATTTTTCTTCTCCCTTCGACGATCCCTGTATTCGTCTTCACTTGCTACCAGCTTATCGTTGCGTCCTCTTCTTTTTTATTCCCTTAATCGAGACGAGAATCCGCTATAAAAATATTACCTTGTCTCTAAACTATTCCCGGTCGAGAATCACGCCGCATACCTCGCGGCTCGAGAAACTACGGTACGCCACTCGGTATACTTCTTCTTCCAGCGAACGATAATAAATCGAGCACGGTCGGGAACGGGGCAGATCTTTCGTCGATTCTCCCCTCTTAGATCCGAATCGATCGCCGATTTCACCTACGCGCCGTTCGATAAGGAATCTCGGATCGATCTCGCCGCGACGCGACGTCGACGTCGTTTCGTTTCTCTCGATAGAGATAGTCTCTTTTCCGGAGACGCGGACAAAGCTCGGCTTTCTTCGCCGGGTTGGCTCCGCTATCGGGTTCATTCATCGTCCACGATATTTCAACGTTAATTTCCTAGATGGTGATACATGACTCGCGTCACTGTCGTGCGTGTGCTCGTGAACACTCATCATCGTCGTCGTCGTCGTCGTCGTCGTCGTCGTCGTCGTCGTCGTAGTCGTCGTCGTAGTCGTTGTTGTCCCAGCTTCCCGTCCGATTTCTTTTTCTTCTCTTCTCTCTCTCTCCCTCTCTCCCTCTCTCTTTCTCTCTCTCCTCTTCCATCTTCCCGTTCCGTCTTTTATTCCGAATAATCACGCACACGACACAGCGACTCTCCCTATTGCTGCTCGTTAATATTGCCTGCCGCGTGTAGTCGGTAGTCCCGGCTATCCACGCTGCTCAGGTAGTTCTCCGTCGATTGAATTTTTTATTGGCCTAACGCAGAAGCCTGTTTCGAACCGGTATCCCATTCGTCCTGCCGCTTCTTCTCTTTTCTGACGTTTACTCTAAACGTTTTCGATATCGACGCCGCGGAAGGGAAAGGATCGTGCGCGGTATCCGGGCGAAATTCTTCCACTCCGCCCCTCTACCGTGCACGACACGAGTCAAGGCAAGACAAGCGTCTGTCAAACTTTTATTTTATACAAAATAACCCTAGTATACTAGTATCAAAAGATAAAGCTATTCGGAAGACCTACGAACGCGCGATTCGCGCTTACGATCGCGTCAGTCGCCGTTCGCAACGACTGTCGCGGGTTTCACCATGAAATTCACGAAACCGTCAACGTCCTCGAGCTCCTTCGAGTAAAATTTCGCCGCGATCGTGGCGCGTCCCTGAAACTTTGGTTCCATGGAGAAGGAACACTCCGCGTGTGCACCCACTTCCACCGGATCCGTCAATTTCACCTTCAACTGCTCCTCCAGTCCGGGACCCTCGATCAGGAACCTACACTTTTTCAGCGGGATTGGTAACGGATTTTTAAATCTGGCTGTCGCGTTCAGCTCCTTGCCCACCACCGGCTCGTTCTCCAGCTGCGAAACGATTACCAGCGACGATTATGACGACGTCGTTTCCCTCGCGACGGAGACGCAAGGCGTAACGTACTCACCGTGATTTTGATGTCGGGTTTCCTCACGCGAAAATCGTCCTGCGCGAAGTACTCGAAATTGGTGCCCTTAACGCTGGCCAAGCAGGAGATGTTGAACGCGCATTGATCCAATAATCGAGGACCGTATTCCTCCCAGGATACCACCATACGCACTTCCTCGGGGTCTCCAGGTTTTACCAGACGGTCGATATTTAATTTTTTCACTGGTTCGCCGACCCGACCGGTGTACAAAACCGTTTCTACTCTTAAAATCACCGAGACTCGGTACTCGTTGTCGGGGTTGCTATTTTCGATCAGCAACACGTTGCGAAAGGATGGAAATATTGAGAAGGGAGTTACAAGAATAGCGAGGAAATTGAAACGTAAAAGGGTTGCGCGAAACGAGCGGGGAAACAAATTAAAAATTACCTGAAAGGTTGTCCAATTACGATATCGTCGCGGAGCTCAAAGTTGAACGTAATCTCGTTGAATTCTTCGTTGAGGTAGTAACGGCTGAACAACGACTGACTTTGACGCAACGCCTTGATCATGGTATCCCGTTCTTCGTTCGATTCTGCGAAACGAAATCGACGATTTTAAGACGAAGATATTAAGATTTTGGAAAAAACCTGGAACGCGTTCCGGACGAGTACATACTTTCAGGGTACTTGTAGGTGTGCGTGATATCCTCTCTGGTCCATTTGCCTACCGCCTTCGTGCTAATGAGTTTGCCGACGCTAAGTACGGGAAAGGGACGAGCCTTAATTTGCCTTGGCCGAGTGGAGAAAAATTCGAGAAAATCTATAAGGATCGTAAGGATTACGCAGACTCACCCGTGCACGTCCTTTTTAATCAACTTCAAGGGTTGAATCGGTCCGTTGTAACGCCAAAACACCCTGTCCGCGTTCACCTCGGCGAAGAGGAAAGCGTTGTCGTAAGGTCGAAGAATCTCGCCATTCTTCACAGCAGCGACGGAAGCTGGACCACAACGATACGCGTCTTCGCTCAATTCCTGAGGAGTCGCATCGATCATTTGCCAGCCGGAATCCTGGGGCGACAAGTCCAATCTGGACATCCACACCTCGTTCCATACGTGGAAATTCCTTCGGGAAGCGCGGAATGGAAAGAACGATTAGACGATGGATGCACGATTAACGCTTGTCGCGACTGTAACGCTTACCACATCGAGTCACTGTTCAGCTCTTCCATGGCTTTTCCCTCGGC